TTGCGGTCGCAGACACAGAGCTCGCGGGAGCGTTAGGGATTGACCCATACGTCGCAGGGCGACAAATTGAAGGGAGTCGACGGCATGCTTTGGGTTTGACAAACTCAAATCGGAGGTATCGCTCCAAACGCACTTCCACTTCCTTATGGCTCAACTGTAAGGCATAGAGTGAGGAAAGTTTTCGGTGCCGTTGCACCCATCGCTCAATGAGCACTTCGTCATCTGTAGCGCTTTCGCCAGCGTCGAGCATTACAGGTATCGTCCGCATTGCGGGTACACGAGAGCCACCTCGTTGAGCACACAGGTGAGTGCGATAAGCTTCCAACGGAATTTCTTGTGAAACCAAGAATCGAGCTCGAAGAGCTTTCCGTTCGGCAAGCTCACCTTCCATAATGACCGGGGGCCGATGATGTGGAGGTGTAGCACAGCAGGATCCGCCGAGCGGGAGCCATATTCCACACGAGGGTCAATGACCGGCCGTGGATGGGCGCACATCAGAGCCGCCATACGGGCAACTTTTAGCTGCCGCTTCTGTGCCTCATCGAGGTCATTGGTGATTACGCCACGTTCCTCAGGTGGCGAGAAGTCAGGAATCGGACATGGGGTCCGCAAGGCGCGAGCAGGGCTCGTTTTACACCGCTGGTGCGGCTCGCCTACATCGTCGTTCCATCCGGGAAAAGGAGTGTCAGACTCGTAGTCAACCACCTTCACACCCCCAACGAGGTCAGTCGTCAACGTTAGCGTGCGCGGAGCGCGACGCTCGGGCTCATCAAGCCTAGGATTTACATCCCTCCATGCCGCGGAGACACTGTCCGACATAACACAATAACAGGAGATGAAGTTGGGCTCTGCCCGCGAGCACTGTCAGAACCAGCGAGACTTGGAGACTTCGGTGTAATTGACACAGGGCTCATTGGGCACAGAAGTCGTTTCGTTCCAACGCAGTGTCTAACGGACACGCAAGCCTAGTTAAGGCAATAATCGATTGGAGCTGTAAATGTTCTCAATCTTAATAGGGAAGAGTGTAACGGGGTTACACATACTGTGGTAACAGGGGTGTGTGTCACACCAGATGGGCATGGTGTGACCACACCTAAACAAGAATACGGTTCGGGGCTGGATAGCCAGTAGTTATACATGTATTTAGATTTTTCTATGCATATTAGAAAAATCTATGCATTTAATATTAGGAGGCTTTGCCGCAGATAAAAATAAATAAAGTCAGTTTGAACTTAAACGGAAGAGTTAGCTAGCCTTGGGTTAAGGTTGTCATTACTTTTGAAGTAAGCGGATTGCGATCCGCTAGGCTCTTTTTTTTATAGAACAAAAGGTCGGTGACCTAACTTACGCTCCCTCTCAGCGCAAAGCTACGGCAGCTTCGCTGCATTATCCTCCACAACTCGATTTAAGCGTTCTGTCAGACCATCTGTTTTCAAATTGACATATTTAATCTTGTACCGAGTACTTCGTAAAATAGCTTGCTAGCACGCTGCTGCAAGTGCAAATCTCAACATGATACAATGGCTAAGCCATGTCGACAAAAACTTTGTTCAGAAACAGCTTGGCTGCATCCTCACCAATCAAATTATTGCTGGCAGCGGCCAAATAAGCCATTTTACTCTGACAGCTCATAGAGACATAACGGGTATCCCCGGACGTGTCTTTCGGTGACAAAAAAGGGTCCATACCTAAGGGCGACCTTCACTATCGTGGAAGGGGCTGCCTGCCAAATGTGCCACCGCATGAGGCAAAGAGACAATTTGTTGGCACGTTGCACATATGCGGACATATAAGCCTACCTACTTATGCATGTTGGTTTACCATTAGGTAGCACCCATCGATCAATATGATCTCTCATTTTTGAGGTTGCCACTCCAGGGGGAATCATGTACCTCGTACTGTTTTCGGTACCTGAGGTTCTGATGGCGACGGTCTGCCTCACGCTGAAAGTCATATGAGTTAGTGCTGCAGCCTTGTGGTAAGGCATAAGGGTGCGAATGTGCAACTAGGCGCTTCAAAAATGCGGTATCTAGTCGCTCAAGCTCCTTGCTTCCCAGAAGTTTCGGCAGCGCTACAAATTTCTCGCCCAACGCATAGGCTGTATCTGTTTCCTCATCAATTAGTGACGGCACCTTTTACTTTGTGACGTGTGATAATTCATTGTCGGGGCAACGCGAAAGCAAGTCCACCGCTACTTTAAGTTCATCCGGCTAACTTGTCCTTTAATGTATATTTGAGATCAATTTATTAGCATCCTTAAGTTTTTGTGGAAGACGTGGAGTCTCCGTCGTCGTGCACAACGGCGCATGGTTTGTTTATACGTACACCCCGAACTTGACGTGGGCATACGTCATTGTTGTGAGTAGTCTATTTTATACAGATTAGTTCTGCCCTGCTGGTTTCAGTCTCGCATGCGCTTAATCGTTCATGCCCACTGGCATCTACTCGAAGTAGACTCGTCGCCTTTTGCAAAACCTGGTCCGTAACAAAATGCATGATATATTTGATAAGATAGAGTCGGGGTAACCAAAATGCTTATGCTTTTTTCTGCCTTCACGACGGTCCTTTCTGCCACATACTAGCACAGTTTGAGATTCTCCCAAAGAAATCTGACGAAGGGTCATGCCATTTCACCAAAGCTTTCTCAGTACTTGTGCAAGTAATTGGCCTGGGCAAGCCACAACTTTAAGTCAATTAGGGCTAGAGGCGTTGGCCAATCTGCAATCACCTTTCTGTTCTTTCCTCAGGCTCTGCTTTCCCTTAATAATAAAGGTAGGATGTCATGGCGCCAAGGCTCACCTGTTTGCTAAGCAGACAAGCTCGAGCCCCGATAACAAGTATTGAATGGGGCAACTCCACAATTGTTATCATACACTCTGCGCAGCTGTGGACGACTTTATCGTCGAAATAGATTTGTGAATAGCCACGCTGCAGCTCAAACAACTGTGTCATTAAATGATTGAACATCGCTAGTGCATTCAAAAGCCTCTGCGGTATAACCAGCCACTCCCAGGTTTCTCACAAAAGTCGCTTAATGATTTGCGCGAAAATGACGTCAAATTGTTATTGCCACGTGACGCAATATTTAGTTCCAGAATAATTATTACATAATATACATAGAAAAGTGCTTCATACTTTTGTGCCGAGGAAATATTTTGCACCGACACGTATGCTTATCCAGCATTGTTGCTTCTATACGTGCTCCAGTATATTATCTCAAAATTAAAGAGGGATGAATCAAGCTGTGGATGAAAATACGAGTGGTATGGTGTGGATGCGCGAGATTCTTGGGCGACAGACGTTGTCGCAGCTGGAGGACGCAAGCCGTGATCTGAACCTAGTGAATTGCTTTTACAATGGCTTTGAAATGTGGTGGCTAGCCGGCATGCCAATCACCCTCGTCTTCGTTCTTACGCTACTAAGCTTTTCTTTAGTATCGGGTATTAGTGGCTTGGAAAAGTCAATGCGCTGGAATGAGATGCTTCCTACATCTATCTTGCACTCTGTAAACAGATTAAATCGATTGCTTTGTGCTGACTTGATGGAAGAAAAGATGGCAAAGACCGCCATACTGAGTGGTAGAGGCGACCTCAAAATTCCACGCCACATAGCGGTTATAATGGATGGCAACAGACGCTACGGCAAAATTAAGTATGGAGCAGGAGTGCGAGGACACTCGGATGGCAGCAAAACGCTTGTGAATTTTACGGGCTGGTGCATTGAAGCGGGAATCACGATGCTCACAGTATTTGCTTTCTCGACAGGTAAGTTACCAGCGTTCTATAGAGCCAAATGATGGTGAGCTTGCTTTAATATACAATGCTTTCTTGCTTGTAGAAAACTGGAATCGCGAACAATCTGAAATTGACGCTTTAATGAACTTGTTTAACGAGTTCATGCATGAGATTGTACCAGAGGCTCTAAAAAAAAGTATACGCGTGCGTGTGCTGGTTTCTGATGGCCGAAAAATGCCTCCTTATATTTTAAAGGCGATAGAGGAGATCGAAACGCAGACGCGGCATTGTTCTAAGTTCAGTCTCAATCTGTGTGTCAGGTACGGCATCGCCATCTACATTAAAAACATTTGTTAGTATTTGTCAGCTCATTTCTTTTTATTGTTTCATTCAGTTATGGTGCACGTGATGAAATTGTAAATGCCTGCAGAAAAATTGCAATGGAAGTTTCTAATGGCGATACATCCATTTTAGACATAAATGAAGACTTGCTTAGTCAACGCATGCTCACAGCGTAAGTGCTTTTTATAAATTTCTTAAATTAATTAATCTCCTCAGAACGAATACTAACGCTATGTTCGGTACAGTGGCTTGCCTGATCCCGATATCCTCATTCGAACATCCGGTGAGCTTCGCATCAGCAACTTCTTGCTTTTTCAGATCGCATACTCAGAGCTTATCTTTATAGACAAAATGTGGCCTGAGGTTGTGCAAGACGATGTACAAAATATCATTGTCGAGTTTAATCTACGAAAACGTCGTTTTGGAAAATAATAAATAGATTTAAGTACAGTGTGCAATACATATTACCTCTGCTATTTACTCCTCCATGCTAAATAATAGTAACATAAGTCATCTTGTTACTTCTCCTACCGTCGCATTATGGCGGGCAAAGGCGACTCCGCGCGACCACATCACACAAAAACGACCAAATCTAAAGGTTTAAAAAATGTTTCAGCTGCTGAGAACAAGTCTTCATTGCAAGCTGAGGCTCCTGAAAGTAGCACGAACGAGCTGGCTAAGCCTGCGGTTTTGAAGACCAAGTTTTGTCTTAATTGCCAAAAGGACCTGACACGTAATATTCGCATCACATGCGCTGAATGCAAATCGCGACCGCCTATTGAACTCTGTATTGAATGTTTTGCAGTCGGTATCGAATTGGGTGATCATAAGAAGACTCACAAGTATATGGTCTCTGACTGTTTGGCCTTTCCAATTGTGTACGAACCCAATCCGACCGACAGTGTGTCGTCCACATTTGTAGCTGTTGGTACAAATGCTGCAGCGTTTCCAACTGCTAACAACGATGTTTGTAGTAATGTGTGGATGGCAGATGAGGAGCTCTTGCTACTTGAAGGTATCGAGATGTTTGGTATGGGTAACTGGAAAGATATTGCAGAACATGTTGTGACTAAGAGCGAAAAGAAATGTGAGCACCATTATCTCACGACCTACTTGGGCTGGAAGGATCTCATGCCTCGTTTTATTGGAGATGATATCGAGGAGAGTAAGGAGACAGATCCGGATAAAACACGAACAAACACAGAGACTAAGCCAGCCGAAATAAATACCAATACAGAGAATGGAGTGAAAAATTTGCCAGGCGAGAAAGGTGGTCCTTGTCAATTGGCAGGATACATGCCGTTGCGTGGAGACTTTGATGTTGAATACGACAATGAAGCAGAGATGATTTTGGCAGATATGGAGTTCTCAGATACAGATCACCCTACTGAACGCGAATTAAAGCTCAAAGTCATTCAGATTTACAATCAAAAATTGGAAAAGCGCAATGAGCGCAAAAATTTTGTGGTGGAGCGTGGACTTTTAGATTATAAACTGCATCAACACACGGAAAGGAAACGAGCAAAAGAAGAACGCGAGTTAATAGCTCAGCTTCGGCCTTTTGCACGCTTCCAAACACCAGAAGAGCACGATAATTTTGTAGAGGGATTGATCACAGCAATGCGACTCAAGAAACAGATTTTAGTCTTGCAAGAGTATCGTAAAAATGGTGTGAAAACACTAGCTGAGGCCGAAGTGTACGATGCCGAGAAGAAGAAGCGTGAACTTGATCAGGCGATGCAAAAGCAACGCGATAGTGCCTCTTATTTATATGAGTCGGGTCGTACAAATTCAAGCCGCGATCGTGCTAATAGGTGGCAGAATCGAGATCACAGTACGAGTAGTGAAGCAGGTGGGGATAGCACAAAGTCTAGGAGATCCAGTGCGAGTGGAATCAATGCGATTGCAGCATCCTTTTCCATCGAGGGTACACCAGGATGCCATTTGCTGACTCCAAAGGAAAAAGAATTATGCGGCAAGCTCAAGTTGCTACCTAAGGTGATTTGCCTGTTCTTTTCTCATTATATACAAATGTACATCTGACTTATGGACTATTAAATCTTGTAGCATTATCTAGTTATCAAGGATGCGCTTGTTCGTGAGTGCTACCGCTTGGGTTATTTAACCAAAAAGATGGCCAAAGAGACAGTCCAGATAGGTGCGTTTTGAAGACGATTACTGATATCTTTTGTCGCTGACTAAATATTGGACTGTATTGTCTTGAATAGATGTTAACAAGACTGGCCAAATCTACGATTTTTTCGTCAAATGTGGGTGGGTCAAGTCAGAGAACGCAACTCCAACAGGTACGTCGGTCATGTTACTCCAAACAGAGATTTGATTAGGTTTAACAATTTGGCTTTAACGTGCGATGTAGTCTCATCTTCTCTGCAATCTAAAAGTCCTTACGAGGCTAAAAAGCCTGCCGTTGACCCAAGTACATGTGAATCTATGATGATGGAACAATCAGTAACACCAGCGAAACGCAAAGCAGCGGAGATGCAAGCTAGTGTGAAGTTGTGACCTATCAGCGCTAATCTTTTAAGTATATTTCAGAGTGTCAAAAGTACTTTGTATCTTTGTCTTACATTTGAGTATTTTAAATTAGGACTTCCATCGCTAGGATGAGTCTACCGCTTTACAAAAGTGTGATCAAAGATATGTAAATTTAGATTTACAACAAAGTTTTGCCTTGGCACCAGCACTATCAAAGTACTAAGAGAATGTTTTTAACGAGTGTCTTCCAATCCAGGTGCGATCCACATCTTCTTGGTTGGCGAGTAATTTAGTTTACGTGATCTTCAAAGTGCCATAATCGACGCATCTGTCATGTTACTATGAATTGTGCTTCCTAACTAAGCTCGTCACTAAGACAAAGAAGAGGCTGCCTATATCGTAGCAAAGATACATTCGCGGGTCAACGGTTGATACAATAGTGAAAGATGCGGGTGTTATAATATCATGCCGAATTTGGTCGGATTCAATTTTTTTGTAGCGTCCAAGGACGATTGTAGTTTCTGTCAAGCCGTCAAGACAACGACACATTGTACGACTATGTACAGAAGCTCCGTGTGCTTCGTGCCATAAACCGCTGCCAGAGGCAGTGATAATCACCGTGTTTATGGATGGAATTAGCTATGGTCCTCCTAGGATTGAAGCCTCCGCCCGAGCCCGGCGACTCTGGAAGATTGAATTATGATTGCATTGCGTGAGGACTACTGTCAGCGTCAAGCATGTGGTCAAACGGTCAAACCGGTGGAAGCAGTAACTACTGCAACTGAATTTTTGGAACCGATGGAACTTAGCGAGGTGACTGTCCGAAGGCAGCAAGTTCGCTGTTACGGATATCAACAGATCG